ATCAGGATATCAGAAAATACAGAGTCCCACATTGTGAATCTCAGCTGCAGTTCCCAGATTCTCCACCAGGTGGAAGCACACCGCTCTCACGGGTCAGAGGTCATGTGAAGTGACCGCTGCCCCCCCCCACAGGTGATGTACTCCAGCAACAGGGCAGTCCCTCCCTTCAAGACCGACCCCGTTTCCATGGAGACGGAGTACCGGAGGAACTTCCAGGGTGTGATCCCGCCCACCGGGACCCGCCTTCGGAAACACCTGGAGCACCAGAGAGCCCCCCTATTCCACACACAGAAGGTGAGGGCAGAACACACACACATCTTTTCCAGCCTGAACCCAGTGCCCCCCCCCACAGCCCCCGCTCTCCTCTCTGTATGAGTGACTACTTCCTGTCTCACTCCCACTACACGAGATCTGCAGTTGACACGGATTTGCTTTTTTAGATTTGAGTCAGCTTTAATTCTGTCAGAAGTCATTAAAGCGATCCACTGGTAGGGGCAGACAGTCCTGCAGGCCGGGAGCATTAGCATATGTCCAGCCTTCATACAGAGCTTTAATCTATTACCACTTAAAGATAAAAGATAAAGATAAGCTTTATTGATCTCACAGTGGAGAAATTCACTGGTCACACATCGGCTTAGTGATTAATACTTAATTAATTAATTTTTTATTTATTACATTTGATGATGATGATTTATTATAATGATTTATTTTTATCTTTATTAATACTTATATACTTATAATGTTTTAAGAGCCCCAGTTTATAATTTAGTGCAACTTTCTTCAATTAAGTCAAGATTGGTCACAAAATGTAACTTTTGTTTGAAATGCACCTTTAAAGGGAGGTCTTAAATTCTTTTACAGAGCAGAAAATCGTGCTCTCTTTAAGTACACATGTATATTCTAACTGATTCTCACCCCACTCTACAGACAGCTGCTTGGGAGCTCCTCATAGTTTGTACTTAGCTGCCCCTGAGCATGCTTTCTGCTTTCTGCAGGCCCTGAGAGGAGGCTGAACTCACACACTAACCTTTCTGCTGTTCTCACCTACTTCCTGTCTGTTTTTTCCCCTCACACACAGTTGAGAGTAATCTGTGGTTGAAAAGACCCAAGTAGATCAGCGATAACTGGTAGTCATGTGATCTTCTTTGAGGAGGGGGAGAAACAGACCACATTGGGATTTTTTATCTGTATGTTGTCCAACTGAGTCTCAAACTCCCATTTTGTTGACATTTAATTGCAGTTAAAGGATGTTTCAGTGTTGCTGACATGAACATAAGGAACACATCTTTGACTGTGTCTTTGCTAAAGAGCTTTCTAACATTTATTTCATGTGTAAAAAAAACAAAAAAAAGGTCATGCAAAGTTAAATCTTTAAGAATGAGTGTTAACCAGCTAAAGTAGAAATAATGGTGTTTGTCCATATTTTGGGTTAATTTTGGGTTAATCCCTAATCCCCTTCATGGAGAGCATTTCTGATTCAGGACCAGGAGCTGGTCAGCTGGAGGTCCAGATGCAGCTCTCAGCTCCTGTTCAGCTCTCTGCTGGACCTGCTCCTCTTTCTGAAGGACTCTCAGATCCTCTTCATCTGCTGGATTACAGAGTTTTTCAGGCCCAGCTCTTCTTCTTCTTCTTCTGTCCTTCTCTGGTCCAGTTTCCTCAGAAGTTTTGGCTTTTTTCTGCCTGAATGATTCACAAGTGTTCTGGGCTTTGATTCATCGTTTGGGTGTTGGCTCAGGTGACTTGTGTTTCCACCTGTAGACAAACAGAAAGAGGAGGGAAGAGCTCCAGAGGCAGGCCGGCCGGCAGCGGGCTCAGAGGGCAGCCGCCGGGTCAGCGTCCCCCCTGAGGGACACGCCCCCGGCCCCCCAGGGGCTCAGAGCACTCAGGTGCGTTTCCATCAGTGTGCTTTATCTTTGTGTGTGTGTGTTAAGAGTTTGGAAATTCATTCATCACACGTGTGTCTGACAGGCTGTTGACAGAGTATCAGTCCAGCTTTCGCTCTCCTCTCTGCAGGAACCTGAACGGAGGCGGAGCCAGTCCCCACATCGCCCTGCAGGTCAGACATCATAGAGCCCTTTTTCGAAATCTACTAACAGTCGCTTCTACTCAAACCTTTGGGTCTGCCTCAGTTAAAGATGGCCGCTCCCTGTCCTGATCAGCCAGCTCTAAATGCTGCTGATGGAAACCAGAGTGCTGAATGTCAGCGATAAAACCGCAGAGCTTCATTTCAGGGAAACAGCAGTTAGTCACGGGCAGGTTCCCTCCCTTTTTGTCTTATGGAGGAGGCTGAAAGTTCGTCTGTCAGGGTCTCCATGTTTAGAGCCAGTTCTCTTAACGTGCTTCTTCTGTCCCGCCCAGCTAACCTGCAGAGAGCCATCACTCAAGAGCTCATCAGCTTAAACTGGGCTGCAGTTTAGACATTTAACATCATCTTTATCCTTCTCTGACTCTTTCCTGGTGGTGTTCTTGCCCCTTCTGGACAAATAATCCAGCCAACGTGTGAGCTGAGAAACAAATAGATCAAGTAAAGAGCTAAGCAGCTTTAGCAAACAGATGGAAGACATTTAGGCTCTTTCTGTTCTGGATCATCGTGTTTGCCTCATTACTTCTAGACTTAAATGTTGTAACAAATGTCAAATAAAACGGAGATTTAGTTTGCAAGGTACAGTTAGGTCTCTGAAACCCCCATCTGGTTGTACCTGAGAGTAGAAATCAGTCATGGAGCAGCTTTCCTGCTCTGGTTAGAGCTAACAGCGCAGCAGTTTTGACTATTTCTACGCAACAGGAAATGAAAACAAATCATCAATGAATCCGAGTGCGGTGAAACTTTCCAATCTGTCTTTCAGCTGACGCTGCAGCAGCTTTTGAGAGGAAACTCAGAGCAGCGTTGAGTTTAAGTGGACCGAGGTTAGCTTTGAAGAGCAGGTCGGTTGTGGTCGGGCCTGGAGCGGCTCAGCTTTACCAGAAGTTACAGCTTTTTTTCCTCTGTGTGCCTTCACCCTGCTGTGACCCGGAGCTTAAGCCGTGTCCTCCTCCCCAAAGCAGCACAGGGACGGGGAGGGTCTGCTGTAGGGACCAGAGCATAGGGAAGCTGTCCCACTCCTCTGAGCCCAGAGAGGAGCAGAGTCAGCCCTGAAACATCAACACAGCGCCAGCTTAGGTGATGCCGTGTGTCAGTTTGTCCTAAAACAAATAGAGATGGAGGGAATCAATGAGCTGAGTCAAACAGGAATCCTGCTCCCCATTAAAGAGGGGATGAACCTGCATGGGGGTTCCAGATGAGAGGGTCTGACCCCAGCAGACTACTATCTGAGGCTTTATTAGGTGTCTGTGTGTCCAGGTGGGCGAGCTGAGGCAGAAGGCCCAGTCCTACCGGCACCGGGCCTGGGGAACCAACTTCTCCAGAGTCCACCTGGGCCAGCTGCTGTCTGACCACAACGCGCTGTGGGAGCCCACCGACACCTCCGGCTCTCCAGAGCCCCCCCAGCCAGACGGCCTGGAGGCCCTGGACCTGGACAGGTGAGTCCCCCCCAAAGGGCAGGCGCCCCCCCCCCCAGGGGCTGCTGTAGGGACGTCCCGATCCAGCTTTTTACACTTCCAATCCCGGCCTCTCAGAGCATGTATTAAAGTTTAAAGTTATTTATCTACTTACTTAGTTGTCAGACTCATGTTGAACAGATATTTACTCTGATAACTAATCAGCTGAATTAGGGGAGACTGGAAAATACACACTAGTTGGTAAAGTGTAAAGAAATGGCATCAGTGAACAGTAAAAAGTGTAAATAATATTGTAAACTGTATTAAAAAGGCAAAACACACAAACAACCTGAATAGAAAAGTTTATTATTTTAATTGGCGCACTGGAAAACAATCTAACATAACCCCAGTTCTTAGAATAATATGAGTGATATCGGTCTTTAAAAAAACTGGATCTGGAGTCTGGATCTGCATTTTCTCAGGCCGGTCCCGATCCGATATCTGGATTCGATCGGGACCGGCCTGGGCTGCTGGGCTCATTCCTGTGTGTCTGCTCCAGCCGCTCCAGCCGGGGGGGCTCTGCTGCCAGTGGGGAGAGCAGCCAAACCCCCAGGAAGCCGGAGGGGGGGGCACCAACCCCCCCAGCTGAGCAGCCAGCAGCCTGGGGAGACGAGGAGGAAGAGGAGGGTACAGATGAGTAAGTTTTCACTTATCGTGGAGGGGGGGGGTTAGCTTTAGCATAGATTCCAGCATTTCTCTGAAAATGATCCTGTTCAGACTCAGAGTGTGTCACAGCAAAACAACCAACTCTGTGTGTGTGTGTGTGTGTGTGTGTGTGTGTGTGTGTCCACAGCGAGGAGGGGCGGCTCCCGACACCCCGGCTGAAGACGAAGCCGGTTCAGAGAACTCACCTGGACCTCACCACACCGGCCACAGGTAAACTCACACCGATACCTCAGGAACCTCTACTTTAGAAAGATATAGAATAATAGAGTCCTGACCTTTGACCTCTGTCTGCCTGCAGGGGGGGCCCTCCTCGTAGGCAACCTGAAGAGTGCTGACGACGCCCCCCCAAACAAGCAGGTGATGCCTCCTCCTGGACTCAGGTAGAGTCCTTCTGTCCCCTCACTAACGAGGCTTTTCTGTGTTCAGGGGGGGGCCGACACCCCGCCCAGACCCCGGGAGGCGTGGGCAGAGAGGGCCCCAAACCCCACCACCCCCCCCCCCCCCCCCCAACCCAGCGGGACCAAGCAGCCGGCAGCCCCGCCCCCCCCGGTCCTCCTGCCCCAGCACGTCATCCAGGGGACCCTGAGACACCCCGACTTCCAGCACAACGGTGAGCACAGCAGGCCCCCCCCACAGAAGAGCCAGCCCACCACTGCTAAGCAACCAGAGCTAGCCGACCAGTCAGCTGACCAGAGTGAGCCAACCCGAGTGAGCCCACCAGAGCTAGCCAACTAGAGCTAAGCAACCACAGTTAGCTGACCAGAGCTAAACAGCCAGTTAGCTGACCAAGGTTAGCCGACCAGAGCCAGCCAACCAGTCAGACGACCAGAGTAAGCTGACCAGAGCTAGCCAACTAGAGCTAAGCAACCACAGCTAACTGACCAGAGCTAAACAACAAAAGCTTGCCCACCAGAGCTAAACAACCAGTTAACTGACCGAGGTTAGCCAACCAGTCAGTCAGCCAACCATAGCTAGCCAACCGGAGCTAAGCAACCAGAGTCAGCCAATCGTTAACCAAGAATCAGGGTGGGGTAACTTTTCTACGCTGCCTCTGACCAAATAAACTCCTTCATTCTGGAAGTCTGGAACATTTGAATCAAACGACTTTGCTGAGAATCAAACGCATCCTATAAAAAGTTTCAGAAAGCTGTGTTTGATGCAACCAGAGTCGTCCTTTTCCTGCTACATTCCCCTGACAACTCTCAGGATACACACACACACACACACACACACACGCACACGCGCCTTTGGCTCTAAACAGCAGGGAGCATCTCAGACAAAGCTAAGCTGACGT